GACTGTGGTGCATAAGCTGAGGATAGATGAACATTTGAAGCACTAGGAGTATTTAAGAGCTTTGCTGAAGACATTGCCTAACCTCGACAATATCTTCTGGATGTAGCTCTTCTGTGACAAGAAAAGCTTCTTCTTCGACCTTTCCCTGTAAATCTCCATACCCAAGATCTTTTGAGCAGCTCCCAAATCCTTCATCTCAAACTCAGCACTGAGAAGCCCCTTTAACTTCTGGATATCAGACTTCGACCTCGCAGCTATGAGCATATCATCCACATCTAGAATAAGATAGATCATCGAACCCTCCTCCACCTTGTTGTGATACACACAACAATCATATGAACTTATGCTGCAGCACAGCTCAAGCATGTAACTGTCAAATCTCTTGTACCACTGCCTTGGAGACTGCTTAAGTCCATACAAGGACTTCTTCAGCTTACAAACATAGTCTTCCTTTCCTGGAACCTGAAATCCTTCTGGCCGAGTCATGTAAATTTCTTCCTCCAACTCTCCATGTAGGAAAGTTGTCTTCACGTCTAGCTGCTCGAGCTCCAAGTCATAATGTGCCACTATTTCTAGTAGCACTCTGAATGAAGTATGTCTATCACTGGTGAGAAAATCTCATTGTAGTCAACTCCTTCCCTCTGCGAGAAGCCTCGTGCAACCACCCGAGCTTTAAATTTCATGCCCTCTTCAGAAGTGATTCCTTCCTTCTTATTGTAGATCCACTTGTTCGTAACAATATTCCTTCCCTGTGGTCGTTTGACTAGCTTCCAAGTCTGATTCCTGTCATGGGATTCCATCTCATCTCCTATTGCGGCAAGCCGCTGATCAGCTTCGCCACCCGAAACGGCTTCTCTATAGGACTGTGGCTCTCCTGCATCCAATTCTTCAGCAACCTGAAATGAATACGCCACCATGTCCTCGAAGCCATACCTCTGTGGAGGTACTCTTGTAGTCGCTCTCTTCGGTCTACCGGAAGCCATAGACTGATGAGCTCGTGCACTGGACTCTGAAGTTTCTGGCTCTGCAGAGAGATCTTCATCATGTTGATCTTCTCCACCTTGGTGCTCAAACTCACTCTCTTTGAGAGTTTGCAGCTCCACATGTTTATCTACATTCTTGCTACCTTCAACAACAGTAACCTTCAACATGGGGTTAAACATAGACTTCTAATCAAATATCACATTTCTACTGAGTATAACTCGATGCTCAGAAGGTGACCAGACTCGAAATCCCTTAACTCCATCTCCGTAACCCACAAATACATACTTCTTTGCCCTTGGGTTCAGCTTACCCTCATCCACATGATAATAAACAGGACACCCAAAAACTTTCACTGAAGAGTAATCAGCAGGCTTACCATACCACACTTCATAAGGAGTCTTACACTCGATACCTGTGTGAGGTCTAAGGTTGATCAGGAAGCACGCCATGTTCACTGCTTCTACCCATAATCTTCTCTCTAGTCCAGCATTAGAGAGAATGCATCGTGCTCTCTCCAACAATGTCTGGTTCATCCTTTTTGCAATGTCATTCTGCTGGGGTGTATCTCTAACGGTCCGATGACGGGCAATCCCTTCATCCTTGCAGAATTTGTTGAACTCATAACTGCAGAACTCCAGACCATTGTCCGTTCGCAGCTTCTTGATCTTCTTTCCGGTATGATTCTCCACTAATGTCTTTCACTACTTGAACTTCGTGAAAGCCTCACTTTTCTGCTTCATCATGAAAATCCAAGTAAATCTCGATAATCATCAATAATAGACAGAAGATACATGCTGCCTCCAATGGATTCAACTCGTGAAGGACCCCAACAGTCGGAGTGGAGGTAATCCAGTATCCCCTTCGTCCGGTGGATACCCTTCTTGGGAAACTTGCTGCGATGTAGCTTCCCAAACACACAATGCTCACAGAAGTCCAAATTCTACATCTTGTGCCCGCAAAGAAGATCCCTCTTCGACAGAACTTGCATCCCTCGTTCACTCATATGCCCCCAGTCTCATGTGCTAGAGAGTGGTCATATCTTCCTGATGAACCCGAGACGATGCAACTGCAGCAGAACCAAACAACACAGACCCTTGTAATGCATACAAGGTCCCATGCTTCACACCCTTTAGCACCTTCCTTGAACCTTTGCAGACATACACAACTCCACATTTTCCTTTGAATCTGAAACCCTTGCTGTCGAGTAGACTCAAGGAGATCAGGTTCTTTGTCATTCGTGGAACATGTCTGACATCATTCACAGTACAAAACGAACCATCATGTGCCTGAACCTTTATGGACCCGATTCCAACAACCTTGCAGACAACTCCATTTGCCATGACCACGTTACCACCATCTATCTGCTCGTAGGTTGTGAAGTAATCCCTATTCGAAGACATATGGTATGAGGCTGCAGTATCCAGAAACCATACATCCCCACGATGTGCCTTCTCATCTACAGCCAAGGCGAGATCGTCTTCAGAATTGTTGTCCACTTCTACCACGGCAACTGAACCTTGTTTCTTCTTTTGCCCTCTTCTCCTGGGACAGTTGTACTTCCAATTCCCCACTTCCTTACAATTGTGACAAGCATCACCTGGCTGTGGACCGAGACCCTTGAATTCTTGTTCGAATTTCCTTTACCAGATTTCTTCTTTCCCTTTTCACCTGTAACAGCCAAACCCGATGCCTCACCACCTGTACCAGATCCGGACGCCTTATGCCTGATCTCTCTCGTATGAAGAGAAGACCTGACATCCTCCAACGACACGCTTTCTTTACCGACAATAAAAGAATCAACGAAATTCTCATATGAACTCTACAAAGAAACTAGCAGGATTAGGGCAGCATCCTCATCATCAACTTGAACATCTATATTACACAAATCCAGCAAAATAGAGTTAAGCTGTTTGAGATGTTCCCTCAAAGGCGACCTTCTTGCATCCTCAAGCTGAACAACCATTGCTTGAGATGCACCTTGTTGGTTAAGGAATTCATCATATACAGACTCTCCAACTTTAACCACAAGCCCGCGACAGTCTTCTCAGCAGCAACTTCAATGATGACGTCATCAGACAGCGATAGCATGATGGTCGAGTGGGACTTCTCCTCCAGGATATTCCACTCATCGTCATCGACTGCTGCCTTCTTCTGTTTCGTATACAGCGGCCCCCATAGCCCTTGCTGTTTCAATAAAGCATGCATCTTGATCTGCCATATAGCGAAGCTGTTCTTCCCCGTGAACTTTTCGATCTTCATGTTCACCGACGTCATTCTTCTGAATCAAAAACCCTAGCTTGATTTCCAACCGCGGCTCTGATACCACTTGTTATAAATGCGCTGCTACGGATTGGAAAATCGCCGGAATCGATAAAGCAAGAATACGAAAGCGAGAATCGAAAAACACACACACACACGATTTACTTGGTTCACTAACACGATGTGTGTTAGCTAGTCCACGGGCGAGAGAGAGCCAGTTTCACTATATCGAGGAGATTACAGATTACAAAGGAGTATGAGAAGTATTTATAGTACTTCTCCATGTGGGTCCAAACCAAATCCAATCTGGCAAAGGAAACGGTTATAGACCAGGCCCAGAACCCGAACCCAAATACCCCCAACTAATCCAGTCGTAGCGCCTGATAGTCCGATTCAAGTCATAGCAACACGAGAGCTGATTTTTTGGTTGTGGTTCATCGGATTCTTTGCTATCTTTGGGAATACCCTTGATGTGGGGTTATTTCTTCCATCCTCTGGTGATTTCAGGTTGTAGGCATTTTTTATTCTGATTACATAGGTTCCGTTGGTACTCACCGATCTACGATGTGAATTGCTGTTTCAGTCTTGGTGATGCTTTTATCTCCTCGCATTGATAGAAGCAAGATAAAAGTCTCAAAGTCCTTCATTGAAGCAGAGTAAAAGGCTTTGGCAGTAGGGTTCGTGGAACAGACGGGCATGTGGCGTTGGCAGTAGGGTTCCAGCACCCAGGCATTGTTGACCCCTACCTCGCAGAACTTCTTGCAGTTCGAGACGCTATCTCCCTCTTGGTCTCCAAGTCCCTTCCTTGTGTCATCATCGAAGGTGATTCAGAAGTGGTGATTCGTCAGCTTTGCCAGGGCATTTCTTCAGATTCCCTCGGAGGTCCGGTGCTTCGTTATTGCTTCTAGCTCCTGTCTTCAGTTTCTGTTTCCTTAGAGTTTAGGACAGTTCCTAGAACTGCTAATGGGGCTGCCCATAGAGTGGCGCTGTAAGCCCTGTTATTTTCTCTTCTTGAGATCGATTCCTTCGACTTTGTAGGGTTGCTTCACTGATGTATTGGTTTGGGAGGGTTTTGGTGTAGATTGTATAGTTTTTTCTCTCTTGACATTTCTTGGAAAAAAAATGTTTGCTTTGTGACTTTGGCATCTCTAGTCCTTTGTCTATGGATCTACATTTTGACAATACCAGTGACAATAATCATATTTCTATTTCCACGTTCCACGACAACACCAAGCAGATACAAATACAATTCCACTATATCCGTGACTTGGTATGTGTTGGGGTTATTCGTTGTTGTTACATTCCGACGGAGAATCAAATTGTTGATTTGATGACTAAGTCGTTCACTAGTCCTTCTTGACTAGCTAACACTAATTTGGGGAGACTATTAAGCCGTCTACAGCCCATTCGATGACCCCTTCTAACATTTTTTTTTTGTCATGATCCATAACCCTTGTAACATATCGTTGGCCTATTATTTTAAGCCCATGTAAATTGTATAATCCCTTAGAGACGTAGGATTGCATGGATCATGAAAGCCCATGGTACGTAGACTCGTCAGTCGTCACTTAGGGTTTCCGATGGTAGGATTATGTATAAAACCCCTGCTGATCACAGAGATACAGCTCAACAACTACCACAAGCTTTTTATTGACTACATCCATTTTACATTTACCAAATGGAAAACAAACATACATCATCAATATTATGGTACGTTCAAACTTTTTTTTACTTGAGAGTTTAAAGGCAATCGTGAATTAATAGATTACAATTAAGGGCACTTGCGACGGCTGCCATGAGTGGTCAAGGAAGCATAGCAAGGGCACTCGTCGTAGTTGCCGGCGGTTCCCGGAGGGACGCAACTGCATCGGCGGCAACAGGTCCCACAAGCCCTGTGGCATAGGTTCGGCCTGCTGGATAGCTGGCACCTAGCTTTGCAAGCGTCTCCACAATCTGATCAACACCATCGTAAACATCACGTTAGCTAGTTGGTAACTTAGCCTTTCATGCGGATAAATTTCCTACCTAGGAATTCAGATTTAACATGAATATTTATGCTGAAATTTCAATTACAAGAAAAAAGATTTTTCGGCGATCCAATAGTCGAAAATAACTATAGAAGCTAGCCCGGTAGAAATGTGATGAAACCATTTTGTTACTTTTGGTGACCGTCTGGTTGCAAAAAGATCATTATGATAGTGTTGATCAATTTAAGTACCGATTGATTGAGTGGAGTAATTATCAGCATGAGCGAACTGAAGGAAGAGAAGTGAGAGGAAAAGGGTAGCCATTACAAGCTTGGAGAGAGCCATTTTTGTGGAGGGTTTGTGAGAGGATTTATAGTTTAGGACTTTGCTACGGTGACATGCATGTCACGGTGACATGTAATTTTCGGTCGACCTCATATAGGATCAGGTCGACCTAATCAGTTTGTTTCAGTGTACAAACGGTTTCATGGTGCCTACTTTGGAGATTCATATCTTACAATTGGCTAGATAGAAATTGGAGATTAAAGGCTTGTTTTGAAGCTGAAGTGTCCCTCTACACATTAAAGTACTTGGGAGCTCAATAGAAAGTCCAGAAGACCATTTTTGAACCTGACCAAAAGGTTATGCCAAAACTGGGAAACTGCCTGAAAATGGCTAAGTCTGGCAACGTGTTTGTCAAGCCTACTTTGGAGCTTAATTTGACAAGCATGGATGCGAGTCAAGTCCAGGGGCCTTTACCACGTTAAATTACGTATTTTTTTATACAAAGGAAAGACATTGAATGAAAGATTGAATATCTTTAAGGCTTCAAACAAAAGGCTCGAAGTTGCTACGAAGGCTGTTTTTCTGGCAGCTTGTTTGTGCTCGAAGTTTGCCAGAAAAACAACCTTCGTAGCAACTTCGACCCTTTTGTTTGAATCCTTAAAGATATCCAATCTTTCATCCAATTCCTTGAATTTGTATAAAAACATACCTAATTTAACGTGGTAGAGGCTCCTGGACTCGATTCGCATTCATGCTTCTCGAATTGAGCTCAAAAATAGGCTTCACAAACACGTTTCCAGACTTAGCCATTTCTAGGCAGTATCCCAGTTTTGGCATAGCCTTTTGATGAGGTTCAAAAATGGTCTTCTGGACTTCCTATCGAGCTCTCAATCACTTCAATATGTAGAGGGACACTCCAACTTCAAAACAAGTCATTAGTCTTCAATTTCCATCTAGCCAATTGTATGATATGAATATCCAAAGTGGGCACCATGAACTGTTTTTACACTGAAACAACATATGAGGTCGACCGAATCCTAAATGAGGTCGACCGAATTCTATATGAGGTCGACCTAATCCTAACTGAGGTCGACCGGAAAGTGCAAGTCACCGTGACATGCATGTCACTGTAGGCACACCCTATAGTTTATTGTAGATTGAGAGATAATGAGAACTTGGGATGAGTGGTGGGAATGGAGGGTTGGCATTTATAGTGACGAATTTTCGTTGTTATAGTGGAAAAAAATCTTAAGAAATTAATAAGGGGATTCCAAAATTTTATGTTGTCATTTTATATTTTTATTATTAAAATTTCAATTCTCTAACCTCAGAGCTTTCTTGTCTTAAAAAAAAATGATATCCAACTATCATATAAATTACTTGTACAAAATGATTATCAGAAAGAATATATAAAATTATTGTTGTAGGAGGTGTGAGAGGCTTCAATGACTCCTCAAACCCGATGTATATATTTTTTTCATTGGTTGTTGGCTCCAAGATTCAAATCCAATATGTGGTGAATGAACCTGAGCACCCCCAATGGTGCAAATAAGGTGAATTGCAAGCCTACGTGGCACATTGATGAAAATGAGAAAGTGGTTTGCATTGATGTGCCATCATTTGCAAATGGTGCAAATTTGCACACCATACAAATTGGTATGCAATTGCAACAGGGCCCCACCAATTTGTCTTTTCTTTCTTTTCCCTTCTTTCTTGTTCATTTGTTTTTTTCTTTCTTGCTTCCACCACTAATTATATGTTGTATATATATATTTCTTTCTATCATTTCTATCACATACACACATATGTATATGTATTTAGTTAATGGTAACAATGATCATTTTTTGTATAAATAAAACAATACTACAAACAAACCTTAAAGATTCATATATACTTTAAAGTATTACATCCGCAAAGTACAAATTGAAAAGAAAACACCCTAAACACGTTAAGACAACTAATTAATACATAAAATGGTTTATATAATTAGTAAGATTAAATTTATAATTATATTTATTGACTTTAATTGATATTAGTTATAGGGAGTTGCTAATTTAAGTTGAAAGGCTATTACAATATTTTAGTAAAATGGTGGAGATAATATGAATATTGATTTGTATTAAAAAGTAAGTAGGGCCCACAATTGCAATTGCAAGTGGATGGCATTGATGTAGGTTGTATGAAAATTATGAGTGAGATAATTGTTAAAGTTGATGATGTGGTAATAGGGATCACACTTGAAATTGCATGTAGATGGCACCATTGGAGATGCTCTAAGAGCATTTCCATTGGTGCAATTGCATTTGTGATTTTTTTGACACAACACCATTTTTGCAAGCCAACTCACTTTACTTTCATTGTACCTACATTGGTGCAATTAACTTGCAATTTCATATGGAGCCTAAATTTTTTTAATGCATTAAAAAACATTTTTTAATTACCTTTTTATCCACATCGCAAGTAAATAAAATAAAATAAAATTTTATTCTTTATTAATTTATATACAATTAATTCATAATTTTTTTATTACTAATTTATGAATACATTTTGATCTTGAGGATGGAATAGAAAGAATCTAGTACTCAATAATTATTCATAAAATCAAAATAAAATGCTAGAACTAGCACAATATTCAAATAGGACACTTAAATAAAGTAAAAAAACTTATATCTAAAATTTTAAATGGAACAATATAAAGACAGAAATGTAAATTAAACATCATTTTCCTCATCTTCAAACCGAGCCCATATCTCTTATATAAAATCTGATTGAAGTTGATTATTTGTAGAGCGATTACGAATTCTGGTATGATTACGAAGATACTCTTCATACTCCAGGAGACACTCATCTTCCACTATCATGTTGTGCATAATTAATTAATTATGCATGCTCTCATTATTTCTCCGATTATATCTTTACACCACATGCGTGACGGGCCATGAATTATTGCAAATCGTGCTTGGAGCACCCCAAATGCTCTCTCCACGTCTTTTCTGGCTGCCTCTTGCTTCTTAGCGAACACTTTGTGCTTCGATCCCTGGAGTAATGGGATTGACTTGATGAATGTGGCTCAATTGGGATAAATACCATCAGTGAGATAATATCCCAAATTATAATTTCGTCCATTAACAGAATAGTGTTATGAAATAACAAGGAAGAGGAACATACACAAGAGTAAGAGTAGAGACACAAGAAGAGAGGGGGAATAGAGCTTTCTTATTCATGTGTTCCTTAGTACAAGGAGATCATCTATTTATAGGCACACATCACATAACCTCTACATTCTTACAATCAATATACATGAATGTGAGAATGAATGTGAAATAGAAATGGGGTGGGGGGTTACATGTAACACCCAATTGTGCAACTAATGTGTCATATGGAGAAATAAATATAAGGAGATTGTAACATACCATGGAGCATCTAATGTTGGTCATCCATAATAATAATAATATTTTCATAACACTCCCCCTTGGATGACCATTAGACATGAATATGCCTCGTTAAAACCTTACTAGGAAAAACCCTGTGGGATAAAATCCTAGTGAAGGAAAAAGAGTACATAATCATCATAATACGCTATTTGAATCTGCCTCGTTAAAAACCTTACCAAGAAAACCCAGTGGGAAAAACCATGGTTAAGGAAAAAAGAGTGCAGTGCGTATATGCTCCCCCTCATAACAACATCAAAGTATAGTGTTGTGAACAAATCTTTCAAATCTTCTCATGGTAAGCTTCTTAGTGAACAAATCTTCTAGATTGTCACTTTATGCATGATCCATTAGGACCATTTTCTTCATACATGATCTTCAAGATCATTTTTTATGAAGAGAATCCACAACTACAAGTCATTTAGACGTGTTGAATCACAAATCTTAACCAAACAATTCATAACAAATCTCATGAATTGTTGACCATTGTGCATGATCAGTTGCTATTGTGATTTCTTTGAAATCTCCATGAGATACTTGTACGACCATAAGTAAACAAATTACTCATCTATGATCCTCATCGTTACCTATAGTAACGAAGTATAGCGAGATACATTTTCGCTCTAACGACATTAACATACGGTACTTCAGGACCTAATAATTCACTTTTATCTCAATGCCTAAATTGATCTTTGTTCACTTCTAGTGACCATGTGATCATTAAGCTGTTGAACATGTGCAATTTTTTTCATACAAAATTGTCCTTTCACCTTTCTGACATTGTCGTACTGATCCAAAAAGGATCTTAAATCCTTCATGTTCAATTTTCTTTCTTTAAGCAATCCATGCTGCATGAAACTCTTCTGGAGTTCAATTTTCTTTCATTAAGCAAAACATGCTTTATGAAGCTCTTCTGGAGTTCATATCAACTAAAAGATATGAGATCATTATAAAATAATTTCTCGACTTTTTCTTCCAAGTAACTATAAAACTTAGCTAACACAATTGTATGCAAACAATTACTTCATATCACACGGTCACAAACAAAAAGGCACGTCATACACACAACATCACTTAACCAAACCATATTCATAAATCAAACTCATAACCACAATATCACGCACATAAGCCTATATGTCATTACACAATCACACATACCAAATGCAAATGCTCTAATGCACTTTATTCAAATTTAATCACGCAAGGCTTATTCGACCA